GACATCGAGTGGTTGTTTTGTCAATCACTGTGAGCGATCGGCGGAATATTTATTTTATCAGAGTCATGATTATTTATTGGACTGATATTTGGCTACGATTATTTCTGCAAAGTATTCACAGCAACTAACTAATTACTCGGTTTTGTTCAATTGGCCTGCTCGCCTAGCCAGCGGGGTGGCGTAAATTGAGGCTAAAATAATGTCCACGGGAATGCGAGCATTGTGGCCAGCAACGTTACAAACGTTTGATAGCTTGGCCAATCCAGGTAAACCATTATAGTAATAAAACCAATATGAAGTATTTCTTACCTGCGATACAGGATATTTATGAAACGCCCAACATACGACACTGTTGAACCTGAGATTCTTGTCAAGTCACCTGGACTCTTTTTGATCAAATGATCCAACACTATACTGAGACGCCTGTCCAAATCCACACCACCCGACTCAGTGCCACCAGCGCTATCTTCACTCAGCGACAAACGCATTATGCGAACCAGCATTGAGAGCAACGAACGCGGCTCTCTAAAAACATCAAATTTCTTTCCGCCCTCATGAAAATCGCACAGCCACAAAAATCGCCATTATACTCTCCCTTTTAAATTCTTATCGATCCCATGTCAACTTCACTTCCACTCAAACAAACACTAATAAGCATTCAAAATTGAGAATAAACAAATTTGGCTGAAGACTATTTGAAATCAAACACATGAAAAGTGGTATCCGGGCAATCTGCCTAAAGACGTTTTGCCTAAGGAAAGTTTATCTATTCGGCAACGTATCCATTAAAAACTGCCCGTTAGGCAATGTGTCTTTAGGCAAACTGTCCTCAGACAAAACGTCTTTAGGCAGATTATCCGGTCACGAAAAAATGTTTGTTCATATCAACCAGACGCTTTGTCAAATACTCTTCTTCTTCTTTGATTTCAATTCCTTTCTCATGTGCAGTCCATTCATAACATTTTTTTCGACAGACCTTCCTCATATCAACATTCACTCAGAATTGCCCCCACCAAAACCATTCTGAACGAATCACCTGCTGCATCCACTCAGTGGCATGAACAATACTAACTCAGAAACACCCTCAAAAACAAGTGACCAACTTATTTGCGTCTCCTTCGTTCACATTCAACGTGAACAACGAAAGCGCGTGTGTGCGTTGCTTATCCAATGATGCTGCAGAAATGTTGTGATCGACTCGATGATATGCAGATCGCGTTGTGCCCATTCTCGTTGTCAACGTTTCATTCCTGGCCCAGAAACACTGCTCATCATCCGATGCGCTTTTGAATTGTGGCGATGTGATGTAGGAAACGCTCAGGGTCAACAAATAGACAACTTGCTGCACGATTGAATCACTTATTTGGCCTTCGTCAATGTGCTGAAATAATTTCATTCTTCTTATAAGACTCACAAACGATGGAAATTATCAACCCACAAAAATCGATGAGTTAACGTGGCGATAAGTTTTAAATGGATGTGAAGATCATCGACATTGAAATATTAATGACAAGAACGGCGAGGATGCTGAGATATTGAATGTAATGTTGAACAGAGTAAAGCAAACGATTGTCCAATTCCACTGATCAAATAAGAATAAACTCCGCTTCATATTGCTTTCTGATGATCACTCAGAACCACTCATCGTTATTCTTATTATTCTTTTTAACAAAACCATCGTTGAAACAATCACTAATATTACAATTAATATTACAAGTTGAAAACTCCATCAGTAATATTACTATAAAGAGATTATTTATATAAAGAGAACTGACCATTGCTAACACCTCGAAGAGTATCTCGAAAAATGTTGGTGAGACGAGCAACTTGAACACATTGCGCAAATGAAGTATCGTGTCTGCATACCCATCAAAACTGATCAACCGATACGGTATCCAGAAATGTCCTCCCATTCCGCAACCGTACATCTTTTGGCCACTGCCCGGTGAAGAACGATTCAAACGAGTTCGCTCTCTACAAAAATCAAATATATCCGATGAAAATAATACCATCATAAACAATTTCCATGTTAATAATGATAAAATATTGAATACGTAACAAATAACAAGAGGCCGAAATCTCCATTCCATAAAAAGAATGAAGCAAGCTTGGTGGAAATGAAAACTAGAGACTGCTACAGATTGTTCCTGAATCTTTTAGCAATGAACTATAAATTTAAGAATTCGGATAACAACAGAAAAGTTGATTTTACAAATTCAGTTATTCAATCAAATATCGAGAATCACACATCAAATGTTCTCACATGTTTTCTGAACGCAACAACGCGTCGTTGAATTCTCGCGCTGTTGTGGCACGCATACGACAGAATACCGGTTCAAAGCGCTCGTACCAGGACTGCTCGGAGAGTCGGAAAACACCCTGTTGAATGTGACTTCCTTGGTCTGGCTCATTGTAGACAGCTAACTGCAACAAAACACAATCACTGAAACCTTTACTTTACCTTGCGATTGATCACCTAGCGACCTGTCTTCGCTCTCTATGTGGGCGCAGACCAACTGATTCCCATCTTATTCCACGTTGCTCAGACTTTTTCCATTTCTGACGCAGATCCAACATTCTAACGAATGGTTCATCCCATCTTAAGCCTAGCCAATTCAGGTAACATTGAACAAAAGAAAACGCCTCTTCCATCTCATTATTCTAAATTTCCCGAAACTAACCTTCTGAAGAAGAGAGTCGAACGCCTTATCACTCATCATCGCACGACTTCCTTTCTCGGGAATTGCCGATTTCAGTTTCGAATGCGTCAAATCGCCAATCGCCAACGCTGCCACAATTTCTCGCTCCACATCTTTCTCCTCGACACCGTTCGTATTCCACGCAATTACGATCAATTCCAGAAGTAATCTGCAAGGATTTAAGTCGATTAATACCAATACCAATAACAATACTGACAATAAAATAATAAAAACAATAATAGAAATGAAAAATACAGTGTGACTATGACATTCAATCAACCCATTAATATCATTAAAATATTGTCACATTCGTAAACAGCTACATGAAGGACGACGAGACTTCATCCAATTCAAATTAAAAACCGAATCTAATCGGCCAGTTTGCTGAAATACTGTTACAAACAGCATGCACCGAATGAATACTCAATTGAACAGGTAATATTTCTATCACACCGCAACCATTCTCGCTCGCAAATGAACAATCCAAACACAAACCTGAGTGCTCCATCGATCAACGAATCAACCCATTCCTTTCGTGTTATTACAATCGGTTTCACATCTGCTATGGATGCGTTCGTATATTTCACATTCGGACTATACGAGAAGCATTCATCCAAGTAGAATGATGCCGATAAAGCGTTCAGAAACCACTCCGGATGGACGTTTGACGCGATAAATCTGAAATTCATTCGTCGCTGATTTAAAAAATTTATGAAATCAAATCGGAAAGGAACACCATTATCATGACTTTTCTTATCACCACAAATGAAGGATATTCACCTGAGCAATGCAATATCACAGTCCAACAGTGCCGTATTATAATTCGTTTGTGCGTAATAAAATGACTGATTACGTGCCGCGTTTCCGTTCCTTGCCCACATACCAGCTGATGTCTCTGCACGACACACCTTAAACGATTTTTTCAATCAACTAAAACTAAAATTCCCTAACTAAAAATCTTGAAGCTTCAATTCACTCATCCACCCAAACCCAAACCAATCTCTTCATTACGATTCCACCATCCAATCTTCAATCGCCTTCAAATTTCAAACTGATCAAACAAATTTTCAGAAGCGATTGAATTCTTCCACAAAGCGACTTCCTTAACGTGAAATGAAACTCAAAAAAATGAATCGACTAAACCTGGATTCTAAGTGGATGTAGTGCAATTCTTCTTAAAAATTGCTCATCCTCAGCCAGCAATCCTTGAACTGGCTCCCGAAGTAGCAAATGCTCAACGGAATGCATAACACCCGCAGCGATATGACGATGCAGTGGAATGTGATATGATACACAATAAGGCTGCGCGCACACATCCATATTGGTCATTTGCAGTGCTTCNTCATTATAATTCCTATTACTCCCTTATTATTCTCATCACTCCGTGCTTGCCAAATCAATAATTCAAGTTCGGATTTCATGAAGACAGATGATTCCAAACGCTATTATCGTAAGCTGCGCGGAAAGAAGAATGCCAACGAAGGAAGAATGTGATATTAGTGGTATTGGTAATAACAGAGAGGCATACACTCGTAATGAGTTTGATTTGCTAATCAAATGAATATTCTGATCACATCATAACCCTAATATTCTCATCACAGATCAAGTTCTCTAATGAAAGGATTTAAGTTTATTCGACTACTAAACATTATAATCCATCCAAAACAAACGTGAAAACGAAAAGACCTACCTGCATTAAAGATTTCCACTTCAACAAATACAAATTCATGCAGTCGATTTCATCAGTGAGCGCGTTCAGTGTATTGAACATATTCACTGCGGCCACTTCCCATTCCAGATGAAATGATAGCTAAAATTCAATTTGTCAGATGAATGATAACATGACCGAACAACACTGGAAGCAGTACAAAACTTGAATAACAAATCCGATCGTCGAATAAAGTCTAACCTGGTATGGCTGCGCAGTATCATACTCAACGTGATCGCCGCAAACCACTCGAAAGTTCACGTTCATTCCTGCAAATTAACCTCTCTTTTCTCATTCTAACCACCCCGCAATAATGACATACAACAAATGAACAAGCTATTATTGTTGAACTCAAAGGCACATTATGAAATTCATTCACATATGAGTAACACAATTTTCAAATGAGCTGATTCCACTCGATGTTCACACTAAAATGAATTCACAAAAACATGATAAACTCATTGAAATAACAAGGCTGATATAAATGCATATAAAACGAAATCCGAAATGACGTTAACTTCAGAACAATTCCCACATATCGTTGACTAAACAATCAAATCAATCAAACGATTACATTGCAGCAATTTTTCAAGTTCAACGTCTCATGGCAATAGAAATTCTCAATAAGTTTATGGCGAAAAGGTAAATTCAAATTCGCGATGAAACAATTTTCCAAGCAGACGGCGAAATCGATCAAGGGGATCTCACCAAGAAACTAGGAAAATATCAGATGAAACGAAGTGAACGCAATTGAAACAAAGTAGCTCTATTGCATATTGTGTCATTGAAGTGGTAACGTTTGCGAAACATCCCAGCATAAAGCGCATATAATTTGACGAATAGCAAACAAAAAGTGAACATTAACCTTGCATCAGCGCTATCATCTTCGCGTAACAACTGAACGAAGCCGAATCTCTAAAGAACTTCCTGGCAATGCTCGGATGTCCCAACAGATTCTGCATATCGCTCACCAACGTCCAATATGAATGTTTTCGCAGAGGTTGATTCAAGTCCACAGAGAAAACGATCCACGTGAACGGCTCGAAAGTGGATGCTGTACTGTCTGCACTTGGCGCTGTACTTTCGTAGAAATATTCTCGCGCTGAAAGGTGAGAATATTGAAAGCGACACCAAATTTGTAAAATCGGCAGGTGTGGAACTCAACGGAAAGGTGTCATAATCAAAATAAGAGGGAGCAATTAAAACTGCCAAGAATATTTTTCCATACGTTGAATACAAAATCTCTTTTACACATTCAGCACCTACCTCACTCAACAACACATTAAGAATGCTCTCATCCAGACATTTAAAAAAATATCAGTCATTAACATTAAACATTAAATATCAGACATTGAAAAACATGTAAATATATTAAATATCAGACATTAAAAAATATCAATGATAAATCTTTAAAAAAATATCAGTGATATATCTTTAAAAAAATATCAGTGATAAATCTCCCCGATTCCAAATAAACGAACTTTGTTTTGCACATTTCCACACGTTCAGATAACAGTCAACGGTAAACATATCAAAAGTAGTTTCCAAAGTTGGTTTCCAAATAATCTGTTAATATTCAATAAGCGAAATTTCACCGAAGAGAGTGGACACTTACCTTGAGTCAGGTAGGATCTCTGCAGACCAGCACTCAGCAGACCACGAGTACTTGATATCAGTAAATACTTCAACGATATCTCATCGTCCAATTTGTTGCACATCGCTTCACTTGAGAGAATCTTTAAAAAGTTTAAATTTGTAAGGTTCGATGATAAATTCATCATCGACATTAAATGAACATCCAATCAGAATTAGTTGAGAGAATATCGCACCTGAACAGAAATATGTATGACACGACTCGAAACTGCATAAATTGTGGCGTTACCCTCAGATTTTGCTAGATCAACCATTATCTCAGCAATACAACCGTAGAGTGAGAAAAACTGACGAGCGAACCAATCCTTAAAAGCAATACAAAATTAATTATTGCATATTCTCAGCAAACATATATTGATTCATTCCGAACATACGCTCAAATTATTTGAAATTATCACCTAATAAATACCAAAACTTAACAGCGATCGTTTTATTTCATCGCCTATTCTATCACCAAATGACAAAGTCTTCATTTGTAAGGTTTGACAATAATCATATGGATCCGAAAAACTGCACATCCGCGATCAAAACGATGCTTTAATTGTTCATTCTTGGATAGCACGATCTATTTCATATTTTATTACTTACACTACGAAATCAGAAATTAATCAAATGATGCAAAGAGTAACGCTCACCCGATATTGCGCGTGTGATAACATACTCAAACAAAGATTTATGATCGATTGTGGAAATATCAAACGTATCATCCAAAACACCAATTCATCCAGCAAACATTCAAACGAATAATTCCGTTCGGGTGCTCCTTCGACTGTCTTCAACGATTTCAAATCTTCTTCCAAAAGGCTTCTCGTACGCCAATCCAACGACACATCAACACGCTTTGTCTTTTCTTGAAAATACAACTGATTGTGTGAATTTATTACAATCTCAAACCAGAAATGTTTATTTTCCCAAACCTATAAATTCAGACATCCATGCTAGGAAACAATCGCAATCGAAATGATGCTCAACTGAAAAATTTCTCAACATCAATTAATAATCGTATTCGGTAACATCAGCGGTGATAATAATACGATTGAAAATGGGTATTTCGATAAGGTGACAATAAGAAATGAAGCGTGCAAACCTTCAAGATCATCCTTCGCCATTCGTTTATTCAGTTCCGCATAGAGTTGTTTGTTGAGCAGAATGTCCGCCACTGCATCTCGGATCGGCCCACCGCAATCCACTATTTCCTTTAAATCAATCTTATGATAAACACTTCTTCAAGCAGAGATCCTCCACCAAAAATTTCTTTCATATTCTAATAAAGATAAGCCAAAAGTTCCATTTCACCTTTCCACCACCATTACGTCTTTCTAACCGAGAGACCAATGGTAAAACTATCAGTAGGTTTAAATTTAGAACGGACTTGAAATAAATCAAAATGAAATAGAGTCAAACTTGTAAGAATTCGATGAGAATGTGCGCTTGTGCTATCAAGTGACAACTGAACGTCTCTTTATTCACATCCGACGATCGCTGCTTCTTCTGCTCGACCAGCTCTTCATACCGTCGATTCTAAGAAATAAACTAATGATTCCTTGAACAAATGATCAACACCGCTGGAAATAAGACATTATATGTCTTATTTTCATTATATGTCTTATACGTCTTAGACATTACATCATTATATGTCTTATAAGACATTATGATATTATACGTCTTATAAGTCTAATAAGACATGACAATAAGACATAATGGTCCATCATTAAATCGATCTCATCAACATTCACTGTTGAAAATAAAAGACTAAAAAATACCAAAAAATGATACTCACCCATCCACGGAAGTACAAAAACAATCTGACGAACAACTTCGGTATCACAAATTCGGCCAACGAAACAATTTTGTCCGATGGTGCTGGTGGGCGAATTGCGTTCGGTCCGTGCCGGGCACAAAATCTATAAATTCAATTCTCCACTTATCACATGTCTCGTATCAAGCGTTCCCTCTCTAATTCTATCATGTATCTATCAAATTGCATTTGTCAGCAACACTGAGTGCTACTGACATCAAATTATTCATTTAATCAATCGACATCTTGATAGAATTTCACTTAACCAAAACATTCCCTATCCAAAACAGTCTCCCTCTAACTCATTGGGTCTTACGACAAATTTTTTTAATACAAGCGCAAATGATAAGTTCTCACAGCTGACTCATGTTTTTATATGTAGAGAAAGTTGATATAATATCTTTAAGCAGTTCAACTCACCCAGATTCTCTTAAGACATCCGAGTTGCCGCAATCGCATGCTCCGCCAGCTTGTGAGAAGAACCTGTTGAAATCATGTCCTTGGTGGTTGCTATTCTGGAAACAGTCAGCGCACAGCGACATACCTGTCCAATGAAACCAACCGTTAGCCCATTCCAATTAAAATTCTTTCTCAATTGCAGAAGCCCATTTATCAAGCCCAATCAAAAATTCAATCAAGAAAGCAAAAACTACAACAACAACGAATCTGATCACTTACAAGGGTTGTACGCACACGTATTGCACCGATAAGCAATCGCATCCGATGACCATACTGCATTGCATTTCAATGAAAAATCATATTGCTTCACTGAAACACACCGAATTTCAAATGTTCAATTCAAGATATTATCATAACACTCAGTTCGAATAACATCGACTTCTAACACTAAACATTTCACTTATTGAGTGGCCGTTCCATATAGTCATTGAATGAACACATAATATAAGAGAGAAACTGAGCTAATCCGCGGTGAAATAATTCAACCTCATTCGTCCAGATACATTAAACTTTTGATGCATTATACGATTTCGAATTAAATTTACTTCTTTATGAATTGATAATGTGCATTCATTGGAAACGAATGAACAATATGAAAATAGCTGACTGACTCTTCTCTTTGAATGATGTCAACGTGTCGCCTTGCGCGATGAAAAGTCGGAGTTCATCTCGAGTACGTGTCCGGAACGAGCTCACCGAGGCGGTGTCGAAACCCAGCAGAGCATCCAAACGATCCTCTAGAACTGCTGCCTTTTCCCTGCAATCAGCTTCATCACTTCCGAACTTATTCACAAATACAACCAATCACCGCAATATGCTACTCTTATACGAACTGCTCATCGTTTACTATCAAATCACTATTATATACTAAGTCGTCGAAGATAAACTATGAAATCAATTGGTATGTCCAAAATCAGGAAATTCCTCAAATAACATAACGACAATTGGGTATTTGAAATCATGCCGCGCGAAAATTTTCCAGAATATAATCGAGATTTACTAAAATGAATCCAGTTTTTCCAGTGAAAGATAATCCAACTGCACTACAACTATAACAAGCGATCACACAACTTCTTCTAGAGGTATCATGTTTTGCTTTTAGAACTGGAAAGTCGATGGACAGTTCTAAAAGCATCCTCCAAATCCAAAAAAGAAAACTTCATTGCTAAACTGCTTAAAACGACAATCAAATCGAAGAAGGAATTTTTTACGTTGTCATCATGAACCTACAATATCACTGCTTACAAATCAATATCTTATCTTACAATATCAATATCTCATCTTACAATATCTTACATATCAATATCTTATCAATATCTTACAGTATCACTGTTCCGCAAAAAAATTTCTGCATATTCGTAATCATCTACACGAGCTCTACAATATGATATATATCTCGTCTCGAAACGTGGGGTAATCTTGAGAATATCCTGAGCGTGTTTTCGTTGAGAAGTTTCTTCTCACTGAGAAGAGCTTAACACTCCATCGCATATCCATGTTCCATATGGCACACTGAATGGTCTCATTTACCCCAATTCTTTTGAAATACGAACCGATTTTCTGGCGAAAGTCTCTCACAATATCGACCACCAAATAAGGGACAGCCTGCTGCCTTCAGCTCATCGCACATTTCTTTGAAGAAACGAGCCTCCTCCATAATTTTGGTTTCCTTAAACGTTTGTGAATGCATGGAAACTGTCATCAACGATTAAAGTCATTGCTGCTGAAGATAAAAACCTTCAATTTCGAGAAGACTAGAATTTGTAGAATCCGATACTGTGGATTCACGTGGATAAGCCATATGTTTCTGCATCTTGTAGAGCTTATTGGTTTGAATTCAGCCAAATATTTTTCGGGTTCCTATATGTGAATGATGCGGAAGTCAGTGTCTTCATATATTGTGACCAAAGGTTAATGAGAGGGATTGCTGTTCTACATAGTAGTGATCATCAGAGAAATTGATCAAACTTGATACAGTATGCTCATGAAATTAAATTTTTTTTTGATTTCCCATTCCTTGGCTCTCCCAAAGACCCAATTATGAGTAGATCAAAATCATCATGTGAATCAAAATTTACCCAGTCCTGTTCCTCCATTTTCGTGTCCAAATCCGAGTTACTGCTCAGGTCACTCGAATGTGCCGATCCGTACTCATTAAGTGAGTCGCCTGGGGGCATCACTGAAAAATCTTTTACGCTATTTTAGTGTTAGTGTTGGCTCTGATTCTTTGTCTATTCAGCACATTTTTGATACAATTTCATACAAATGATTCGTGTATTACCTGAAGTCGGATTCACCCACATATTAAGAAACAACTCATACAGTACGCGCAATAGACACATGCTAACGATCAATAGAATAACAGCTGATCTATATCAACTGATCATTAGAACGAAACCATTTGATCGAAAACAATAACAATGGAGAACAATAACACTGATAACGTTTCAGTGTGCCCACATTTACGACTATGTAAGTGGACTGATCAGTTTCATTGCTGGTTGGCTGTGTTGGTAAGCTGGTATATACAACCCGCAGAAGACACATTTCATCATGACTGTTGTGAAGATGCATGAGAAAAGGACACTAAGAAAGGAATACCAACAGCAAAAAGCACAAGAATCACAGTTCATTACTTTTTAAAGCAATATGGAAGTTGTTCATGAGATTAGCAGTGATTATTTCTACTTGTAAGCTTCATGTTAAACAAATTAGCTAGAGATGATACATGAAATCAATCGAAAAATTAACATGCAGTTTATAACATCACATGACTATCGTATGGTAGGTGGTCCGGAAAGATAATGAGGTTATCAAGGTTTATCAGTTGGAACCTATTTGGCATTCTCGATGCCGAAAAATCCCTCCTGAGACGGTCGGATATCCCTTAAAGATTAAACAGAATATTATATTCTAATGAGACGTGTGAAACCCGCCACATGTTGTTGCGATTAGCAACATGCGCTAGCTATCTAGCACTTAAGTTGCCACGATGCGTTTAATTTGTATTTGCGACGCGAAAAAATTATAGGTGATTCTTGAGTTTGTGAGAGTTTTATCTAAAATCGTTTATTTCCACAGTTCCGATGAAACTGCTAAACCCGTTGGCTGATATTTCCTCAATGGAATTTCTCAAGTTTAGTACTGAGATTATTATCCATCTTAGGCAATGGCTGAAAAGTACTGAAAAGTTTTTTCACAACACTGTTTCCATACGCATTCTTTGGTTATCATCATTTTTCATATAGTTTTTTTTTTGTTTTATTAGGAATGAATTGTAGCAAAATAACGGGTGCTACCGTGCCTGTTATCACAGGCGCTTGTGTGCTCATACATTTCACACATAAGTCGAAGCCTATGCGTTAGCCTCATCACTGGGCTAAGCGTAAGTCTAAGCTTAAGCATACTCCTGATTTGACTTCGAATTGCATAGGTAAACATGGAGCAAAGCAGTAATCTAAGCACATGCGTACAGTAGCGCTCGTTATCAGCAAAAGTGCCGTGAATTAATCTTCAAGACAACTTGTCCTTTTGTTTTTTGTGATGTTTATTTTCTTGTTTATTTTCTCACTCTGATTTTGTGATTAGAAGTATTCAGTGCATATCATACGCCACAGCAACGTATCATTTTTCATTAGTTTAGAAAATATTCAGCATTTGGGAGTTTGTATTTTAGATAATAAAAATGGTGAGTCTTCACGGCAAATCGGGTAAAATGAAACGAAAACCAACAAAAGTGTTGAAGAAAAAACAAAAGAAAGTGAAAAAAGTAAAAACTCTCAGCTTAGTCGACAAAACAGACGATGAAGTTCTACGCAAAAACACTAAAGCGGTGAGGGAAATTTGACTATTTTCATGTTTTTCAACTGAAATTTTCCATATTTTTATCGTCATATTGTACTGATCTATGCATCAGTTGAGTCATATTTGAAGATTTGAGTTGAAAAGTTTCTTGTTTTAATCTGATCTTGAGTGATCTTTTGGATTCAAACGTGATGGAGGTTTTGGTTTATAATGATAAGGCTTTGGGCAATACACTGAAAAAAGTGATCTACTAATATCGCAGATCACATTGAATCGGCCTTTTTTTATACAGTTTCAGACTTTCTTTGTCAACCTTGACTAGGTCAAAAAATCACTTTGGTTTTTTTAGAATGCCAAGAAGATCCTTTTGGATGCTGATAAACCGAAGAAGAAGCGGCCCCGAACAGTCTCTTCGGGTTCGTCGGTTTGCCAGGAGGAATCGATCGGTGAGAAAAAGAAACGTGTTTCGTTTGCAAAACAATTGGAAAGCACCAATGATGAGGAGGAAATCAGCAAAGATATCGTGAGAGTTTCCGTTCATTTTTAACTTTTTTAATTGGGGTGAGAGATTCCATTTTTTGATTGATTTGTTGAAAAGGTTGGGATTGCTGATCCGTTTATGGATGAAGTGTGCTTGAGAATTTTTGGATGATAGCAACATTTTCCTCTGTATGAAGGATAGAGGAATGGTATGCAAAAGTTTCCAGCAGTTAGTGATGATATGGTATATTCTGATAGTGCTCATAGTTTGACAGTCGTGGAAATAACCGTATCGCTGTTCAGTTTCTTATTTTTTGATGACTTATTTTTGTCAATCTTTGTGTTGATGACTTGAATGTTGATAGTGCTCGGACGAGGTAATATCAATTAAGAAGAAGGTCACGACGAACGCGTCACCCGGTAAAAGTATACTGGCAAGAAAAGTGAAGGCGACGAAGAAGGCGAAATCGAAGCTGACTAGCTCTCCATCGTCCGGAAAAGAGGACAAAGAGAATTCAATGGACACGACCAGTCCTCCGGATCAGGAAAAAGTCGTGGTTCAACACAGCATAACCAAATCACCCCCAGAGGCTGACCAAACGATGAACGAGTCAAAATCAACAAACGGAATGGAGATGGAAGTTTCACCGAAGGCAAAAAAGAAGCATCCGGATGATAAGAAGATGAAAATACTCAGTGGTGGTGGAGTGGAGAAAGTTAAGAAACATACGAAAATACAGGTGAGGACCTTTTTTTGGTCTTTTCATCTTTTAACTTCATTATTCAGTTGGTCTTTCTTGTTCTTTCTTGTTTCGGTGGATAATTTGTACACTTTTAAGGTTATTATTCATTAAACCTTAAATTCATGAGATCTTAATCATTAAGTGGGAATATATAGATAATTAGTTACAAGCCTAATCATAGCCTGCTGGCTCAGGCTCGCAACTTTAGTGATATTGCTACAGAACTCAGTTTTGAGCAAAACTTTCCTCCGCGAACAGGAAGGAATGTTTTTACTCGAAACCGAGTGGTTTACCAATATCACTGAAAATATATAATTACTGATCGGCTATAAGGTAATTCCAGAGAGTCATTGTGTACTTTGGGAATTTACAGATTCAAACTTTTTTGTGCATATTTCCGAGGTTATTCAAACGATATTCATAATAT